TTCTAATCTTTAATATTTAAATTTATCTAATATTTAAGCTCCATTTTATGATTAAGCCGCTGCATCTTGATTAATTAGGCTTCATTTTGGATTTTTTCAATACAAAGTTTCATCAATATGTTTTCGAGTATGAATAAATAAATAAATATTATGAAGCTAAAGTAAAATTAACCACAGAATACAAACTAAAAAGCCGAAAAGCAACTGGTAATAAATTTAACCTTCCGTATTCAGATTTTTCAGCTAATTGTTCGAAATCTTATAATTTTGTGATAGGAGACCACAACATTAAAAAAGATAACTAAAATTAAATTAAAAATGAGACAATACATATTTTATTTATTTTGATTAGATATTTTTATTTATTTATTGAAAAATAAATTAATCCTTCGTATTATGTTTTTTATTCGAAGGAAAAATCAAAAACACTTAACAAAACCGAAACACAGTGGCCTAATCTTAAAATGTAAGTCGTTTTAAAAACTAAGGCTCCGGCATCATAAAAGTAGACCTTTAAATTGGATAAATTCGAAAAACTTGAATAAGCCGAAACGCAGTGGCGTAATCTTAAAATGGAGGTCATTTTCAAAATCTACGACTCCGGAAACATAAGAATACACTCTTTTATGATAAAAATTCGAAACACTTAAAGAAATCGAAATGCGGTGGCCTAATCTTAAAATGGAGGTCGTTTTCAAAATCTACGGCTCCGGAAACATAAGAATACATCCTCATATGAAAAAAATCCGAAAAACTCAAAGAAATTGAAATGCGGTGGCCTAATCTTAAAATGGAGGTCGTTTTCAAAATCTACGGCTCCGGAAACATAAGAATACATCCTCATATGAAAAAAATCCGAAAAACTCAAATAAGTCGAAACGCGGTGGCCTAATCTTAAAATGGAGGTCATTTTCAAAATCTACAGCTCCGGAAACATAAAAATACACCCTCATATGAAAAATATCCGAAAAACTCAAATAAGTCGAAACGCGGTGGCCTAATCTTAAAATGAAGGTCGTTTTCAAAATCTACGGCTCCGGAAACATAAAAGTAGACCTTTATATTGGATAAATTCTAAAAACTTAAATAAGTCAAAACACAGTGGCGTAAACATAAAATGGATGTCATTTTCAAAATTTACTGATCGGGAAACATAAAAATACACCCACATATCGAATTTGTCAAAAAAACTTAAATGATTCGAAACGCAGTCACGTAATCTTAAAATGGAGGTTATTTTCAAAACTAGGTACAGGACAGCATAATACTAGTCCCTAAGAAATCCGAATAGGTACAATAAATCGATATCCGTAAGTGAAAATTCTACTTAGGAGAGCATAATAATAGACTTTCATATTGGAGGGGGGGAGGGGATGGCCATTATTTAAAAAAAAATATAAAATTTACAAAAACTTAAAACATTAATTTGAAATGAAAACGGTTGAATTTGAATTGGAAAAGGTTTAATTTGAAATGGAAATGGTTGAATTGACTTGGAAAAAGTTTGATTTGATCTGGAAAAGGTTGAATTTGACTTGGAAAAGGTTGAATTTGACTTGGAAATAATTGAATATCACATAGAAATATCACACTGAAAAAATCTAAAATGTTAAAATAAATGGATATGCAACTGCGTAATCAAATTTTTTTTTGTATTTTTTAAAAGCTATGCCGTCGATAATATAGTAAGTGGCCTTCATTTCGAAAAAAATCGAAAATTGACAAAAATTCTAAAGTTGAATTTGAAATGGAAAAGGTTGAATTTGACTTGGAAAAGGTTGAATTTGAAATGGAAAAGGTTTAATTTGACTTGGAAAAGGTTGAATTTGATTTGGAAAAGGTTGAAATTGACTTGGAAATGCTATATATATATATATATATATATATATATATATATATATATATATATATATATATATATATATTCTGTATTTTTATTTTTAAATAGTTATTATTCTGTAAATATGTAATTTAATGTATAGCCATACTGACATTTACTCTGTATTTATAACTTTTTCTATAGAGATTTATATTTCATCTTGTTATATCATAGACTTTTTACAAGGCATATTAGGGACTTGGATTTTGTTTAACTAATATTTGTAGGCTTAAGTACTGCCTGTTGCAGGTGGTAGTCTGTAGAAGACAGGACAGTTTTAACTTTCGACAATAATGAATCATCCTGTCTCAGATCAAGGTAAATTAGTAGGATTACTATTTCAATATAGAAACATAAAATTTACCTACATTATACTTGGATTAAGGAATGTGATTACTGTATATATATAATAAATATGCATTTGATATATATATATATATATATATATATATATATATATATATATAAACTAGATCTGGGCACTCTTGAAATAATTTATTTCTGAAATAATTCACATGGTTATTCCACGAATGAATTATTTCAGGAATAATAGTTATTTCTGAAATAATATTTCAGACTGCCAATGAAATAATCTCGATGGAATAACTGTTGAATTTATTTCTGAAATAATTATTTCAATATTTTAACATTCTTTGGAATAAGGTAAATTATTTTGAAATGAGTTATTTCTGAAATAAATTATTTCCGAATTATTTATTTCATAAATAAATTATTGCAAAAATCAAGAAATGAATATTTCAAAAATAACATTGTTCTGAAATAACATAAAAAATTTACCGACATGCACCATGTTTTCAGGGTATCTTTTTATAAAAATAGTGTCGAATTTGAGATTGAGTCCCTCCCTCCCCCTCCCCCAATCGACTTTTAGTAACCTATCGGATTTAATCGATATCAGGGTTGACTATTATGTTTTCGGGATAGCTTATTATGAAAAATGGTCGAATTTGAGATTGCGTCCCTCCCTCCCTCCCCAATCGACTTTTTGTAACCTTTCGGATTTAATCGATATCAGGGTCGACACTTATGTTTTCGGGATAGCTTATTATGAAAATACGGTCGAATTTGAGATTGTGCCCCACCATCCCCCCCAATCGACTTTTAGTAACCTTTCGGATTTAATCGATATCAGGGTCGACAATTATGTTTTCGGGATAGCTTATTATGAAAATATGGTCGAATTTGAGATTGTGCCCCACCATCCCCCCCAATCGACTTTTAGTAACCTTTCGGATTTAATCGATATCAGGGTTGACTATTATGTTTTCCAGGATAGCTTATTATGAAAATACGGTTGAATTTGAGATTTCTCCCCCCTATCGTCCAGCATTGACTTTTTGTAACTTTTCAGATATAATCGAAATCAGGGTCGACTATTATGTTTTCGGGGTAGCTTATTAAGAAAATAAGGTCGAATTTAAGATTGCACATCCAACTCTCCACCATTGACTTTTAGTAACTTTTCTGATTTAATCGATATCAGGGTGGCCTTTTATGTTTTTGGGGTATCTTTTTCAAATTTGATCGTATTTTCTTAATAAGCTACCTTGAAAACATAATAGTCGATCCTGATATCGATTAAATCAAAAAATTTACAAAAAGTCGAGGGAGGGGGCACAATCGCAATTTCAACAGTATTTTCATATTAAGCTACCACGAAAACATAATAGTCGACCCTGATATCGATTAAATTCGAAAGGTTGCTAAAAGTCAATTGGGGGGTGGAGAGGGAGGTGGCGCAATATCAAATTCGACCGTATTCTCATAATAAGCTCCCCTGAAAACATAATAGTCGACCCTGATATCGATCAAATCCGAAAAGTTACAAAAAGTCGATGCAGGAGGTGGGAGGAGGGGCGCAATCTCAAATTCGACCATATTATCATAATAAGCTAAAAACATAACAGTCGACCCGGATATTGATTATATCTGAAAAGTCGATCAGAATGATTATTTCATAACATTATTCCTGAAATAATCATTTCAGAAATAATTATATCATTATTTCTGAAATAATTTATTTCCGAAATAATCATTTCGGAAATAATGATCAGGTTATTTCATGAAATAAATTATTTCGGAAATAACTATCGAGGTTTATTTAAGAATTTATTCCAGGAATATTTTTCAAATAAATTCTGCCCAGGTCTAATATAAACATCCTTATATAATCTTGCATCTCTTTCAGAGACTGAGACTGAGTTCTTAAATTCTTTTGCTATCTTTTCTTTAATTTGAATAATAATGAATACCAGAAAGAATCATCCTGTCTCAGATCGGGGTAAATTAGTAGGACTTCTATTTTAATATAGAAACAAAAAAATTTACCTACATTATACTTGGATTAAGGAATATGATTACTGTATATATATAATAAATATGCATTATATATAATAAATATGCATTATATATATATATATATATATATATATATAAGATAAGGACAGGAGTCGGGCAGTATCAGCCTCAATACCATCATAGAAAGTTAGAAAGTAAACAAAGCCTTAAATGTATATAAGACGGATTACTTTACAAATAAAGACAGTATTGTTTCTGAAGCCGTGTAAGTTATTTCTCAACCTCTTTCCTTTTTTTTTATTGTTTTATTTCACAGTCGCATAAGATATATATATATATATATATATATATATATATATATATATATATATATATATATATTATATATATATATATATATATATATATATATATATATATATATTATATATATATATATATATATATATATATATAGATAGATAGATAGATAGATATATAGATATTAAATGCATATTTATTATATAAATATCCTTATATAATCTTCCATCTCTTTGAGAGACCGAGACTGAGTTCTTAAATTCTTTTACTTTAATTTGAAGGACTCCTTATCTTAGATTGATTTCTTAATGGACTGTTATAAAGGGACAATAAAGTTCATTAAGAAATCAATCTAAGATAAGGAGTCCTTCAAATTAAAGAAAATACAGGAAAAAAAAACTATATATATATATATATATATATATATATATATATATATATATATATATATATATATATATAAAAGGAATTAAATTAAAATATAAAAATGTTTGGTACTTACAGGGGATAATAGAAGAAGCATTATTTGAAGAGGCCAAGCAGAAGCACGACACTTTTTAGTGTCTGAAACTTGATCAAGGAGATCAAACAGACAGTCAGCACACTTTGCCAATTCTTCATTTGACTTTTGCTAATGACAAATAATAATATTTTGTGATAAACTATTATCAATAATTAAATAGAACATTTATTGAAATAAATTGAGCAACAATTTTAAGTTCATGTGGAATCAATGATAAAAATATGTGAAAAATTCATAAAATGATCACAAAAACATCAATAAAAAATCCTCCAAAACAAAGTAATATGTAGAAAAAGATAAGCCTGAACTGTAGAGGCTTGTAAGTCAAACACTCATTCACCTGTACATCTGCAAATTCATCAGGATATGTGTCTAACCAGTTCCAAATAGCTCGCTCTAGAGATACAATAAGCACTTGGTGAACAGATTTTTTCAGCAGCCGAAATTTAAGTATAGTTTCTACAAATAAAAAAGATCATTACAAAAAATCACAAAAGTAGAAGGGTAAATCCAACAAAGTTAAGAGTGACTAATTTAATGATAACAATATAGGAGTAGAGGTACGCCTAGACTCAGATGGAAGGGAGGTATGACCCTGGATGCTAAATCAATACTAAAAGTAAAAGGTAGAAAAATAGTAGCCACAAGATCAAACCATGTTGCAAAAATTTAGTGAGAAGGTCAACGTCGACATCGGGCTTAGTGTCATAAAGTAAGTTTTTCTAAATTATATTTAATTAAACTTGTATGGATACAAAAATTGCAACCACGTCAATTTCTATGACTTTAAATTATATAATTAATTCTATTTGACTCTCTGCATCCTTGAGACCCTTTGCAGCCCATTTGAGCCCCCCTCCTCCAAAAATCCATGGTGGGCCGAGGACTGATGGAGGAGGAAGGGATGGACAGGAAGAAGTGGAGGAACAGACTGGGAGAGGAATTTAGCTGAGAAAAACTTAAATTTATGAACTTAAATATTCTTAAGTAAAATCAAATTCTATTTGACTAGAGTAACTCTTTAAAAACTGAAATGCAAATAAAATTGGCTTAATGAGTGTTCAACAATGATCTGCTCTATTGGTGACCTCTAAGAATCAATAGATAATCTAATCAATAGATAATAATAAAAAATAATTATATAATACCATTCATTAGTTTAGTGAGCTTCAAAACATCAACATTGATATACTGAATTAATTCAATATCAGTATAATCAGGGTTTTCATCACTACAAGTACTTAGTTCCTGAAGTCTAAAACATACATAAAAACATATATACAATTTATATTATTCATTTATAAATATAACAAAACTGCTTACATTAAATACACACACAGTAACCGTAAAAAAAAAATTACATTTACACACGTATATAAGTTCACAGTAAAACATCTTCATTGTGGAAATCTATATAAAAATTAAAACTAGCTGATTAAAATTTTATTTAATTTAAATGGTATTGTTTATTCGTTTAAATAGATTTTTTTTTTGTTCACTATTTGAATATGTTTTTATTAGAAATCATAATAATGAAAAATAATATATATTTTTTATGTTGAATATAAAAATGAGCAATAATAAAAAAGGAGATTACTATCAATCATGGACATCTAAATCTCCAATTTTGTATACAAAGTGACAGTAAAACCAAATTGTCCCCCATTTGGATTTGTTAAAATGACTTACATATAAAAAATCTTTCCACTCACTGCTCTATGAAGAAGAAACATTTTTGAGAGAAGTGGGGCTAGTATTAAGTACAGCTTTGGATATTATTATACCTTATCGAAATGTCAATTTTAGTAGAAAATGAAATCATCCACTTTTGGTAGCATGTTCCTCAAAAGTACATATATATAACATAAATTAGTACAAAAAAAAAATAATAATAAAGTCTTTAGTCATAAATAATAATATTAAATGATATGTACATCGGTTTTAAAATACCAATATAGGTTAAACATGGTCCAATATAGGTATAACAAAACCAGAAGTGCAAATACAGAATAAAATAATAAGTTTAAAATTTATAATATCTAAGCAAAACAATTTATTTTAACTCTTATACATTTACTTAATGCTTTAATTCATTCCAACTTCTTGACAACGTTTCGGGCAATTTTTACCCATTTTCAAGAAGAAAAATTATATCGATAATATAAATCACAATAATTATAAATATATATATATAAAAAATATGACACCACATAAAAACAATAAACGGAAATCTAAAATATCAAATCAATGAATGATATCTCTACTTATAGCATTATTATATAATCCATCTAACCATAATTTTATATAATTATTGTAAAAAATTAATTCCACAAAATCAATCCTTCATATCACATAATTCACAAATTATTTATAAATAGTCAAATCTAAAAAAAAAAAATAGAAAAGGAAAAAAACAAACACACAAGATATCATAAATAAGAAAAGGCCATAACATTTTTTTTTTTATTATATAATTTACCTGTAGATAGTCAAAAATAAAAATTATCTGAAAAAATACTCCAATATTAAAGATTTCCATTCTGTTTAAAACAAAACCCTAATGTCCACTTTGAGCGGTGGGATTATTTATCTATTATTTTGCTCATTGGGATTAAGAGTACTGCATTATTATATGATTTTAAGTTTCCTGTTATTAATAATAATTTAGCTAAAAATATTTATTTAACATGCTTTATTTAAAATTCTAATTTATTTATTATACCTACATAATGTTGCCAATCCCCTTAATATCTGTTTTAAAATTAACAACATTTTTAATATTTTTAGTTATATAAATAGATTATTAAAAAATCCATATTTTATTATCTCCAGCCCTATTTAAAATTTCTATTTTATCATAATCATAAATATGATTATTCATAATATTATTCCTTGCTAAAGCTGTCACATTGATATTTTTGGGGGTTTTGGTATTTATTTTATACTGATTAATTCTACTGTATAAATTTTGAGATGTTTCAAAAATATAAAATTTATTTGTGCATTGTTTACAATTTATTTTATAAGTTGCGTTTTGTTTATTTTCACTTTTCATCTTATCCTTCATATTTGTTATATATTTGTATAATTTATTATTATCAAATAAACAAAATTTTATTTTGTTTATATGATAATAATAAATTTTATTACAAAATTATTACAGTCATGTTTCATTAATGCATGTTTAATTATATTAGTTATTTCTGGTATATATTTCAACTTAAAATGACTGCTCATGTGCAGTAGACCTTTGTTTCGAGTCTCGTTTTTACTTTTTTCTCCACTATTTTCAATATAATTTTTAATGGTTTTAAAAAAATCAGTTATCAAACCTCCTTTGTGGATATTTAAAAGAAATAAAAAATTGAAATTTTTAAAATTTTGGGTAATCATTTTTACCCCAACAAATATATAAATAAAAAGGATTTGGTACAAAAGTTATCAGGAGATAAATAATGCTTAAAACAAAAGTAACAAATGTCTTAATGAGAAAGTAATTAAAAAATGCTATAATAATAATAAAAGAAGTGTTGTGACAAAAAAAAAAAAAAAAAAAAATATGATGCTCTACAACTTTTATTCTATGGGGTTTTCCTCTTAGAGAACTCATTTCCAAGTTACCGGGCCATTTATAGTAATTTGTCCCAGTTTTTGGCAAATTTGGTAAAACTCAGAGTTGGTTGACCGTGGTTTTATACCTTACAGCGAAACCAAATTTTAAAGTTTATGTACTCGTTTGATGCAAAATTTAACGTTCTTTAATTTATTAAAGAACACATTTTTCGCTTTGATGCATTGTTTAGGAGTTATAGATGAAAAACCCAAAAAACATCGAAAAAATCTGACTTTTTTGTCTGTAAAAAGTTTTCCCTCGGTGGCCTGCGTTAGCAATTTTGTTTTTTACATGTCTAAACCCATATATACAAGTTAAAAAAATAGAACTTTTCTCACATTTTTTGCAATGGATTTCCCGTTTCGATCCTCAAATTATTGGCCTAATATTCTTTAAATCAGCCGCCATTTTTTAAAGCAGCGGCTCCGGAATGGCAGACAAGGTTTTTTTTACTCAGAATAACATACACTTTAGTAATTTATAATCAAACCTTCGCCTGCGATCAGGTCAATTTTTGGGCCCTGGCTCCAGGGCTATAAAAGATAATGCTTAATCCGCAGGAGTGAGATAGCTCCCCAACTCAGACCAGCACAGATAGTCGGACACGGCAGATGCCCCCAGATGCTATGAGGGCGCCCTCAGGTAAAAAAGAGAGGTTTTAAGCTGGCATAAAGATGGTAAGCTATTTTAGCACAATCAGTATAACCTACTAATTCATTAAAATACAGTCCACTGCATAAAAGTAGACTGCCTATTAAGAATCTATTGCCTATTAAGAACTCATGAGAGTTATTTACCTTGCCTTAATTTGAGAAGTTTCAGTTGCCTAAACACCCCTGTTCTAAGCTATTGTAAATAAAATTAAAGTTCCTAGTATATGAGGTTCACTAGTTCCGAGCTTTCCGTTATGGAGAAAAGACACAATAAAAAATATTATTGTGCCTGCCTAATTTATTCTATATGCCATTTACCGTATAATGAATATTTTTGATGATATTTCACAAAATAAAGATGATTCCAAAATTTATAGAATTTTTGGAGGAAATGATCACATTTAAAGAGTATCTTTGAAAGCAATGTCGATACAGAGTTCCATTTCGTTTCTTTACAACTTTAAAAACAAATAAAACACACTTTTCTTTCAGATGCATAGTTTTGGAGTTATTTAGTAACAACTGGAAACGTTTTTCAAATTTCACAGTTTTTAGGATATTACACCAGTTGCACAGGTCCTTCAAAGCTGTAAAATTGATTTAGGTCCACACAACATATATATAAAAAAAAGAACTACTAGACTTTTTGCATGCATGACTTATTTTTTAAGTAAAATTATATTAGAAATATTGATCTAGTAAGTAACCCAATAAATTTAAAACTACTAAATATAGTGATTAAGATTGATTAAATAACTTGTTTATATGTCACATACCTTGCTGATATTCTATTAAATACAGCATTGAAGAAATTCAGACTCAAAGCAAATAATACTTTTGTAGCTAAGGTTTTTAATTGGACAGCATTAGGATTTTCACTAGAATCTGGAAATAAAAATTAATAAGGCAGGTAAAATATTGTTTAAAAAAAATTATATAGAGGACTACTACACTCCTTTATGCCAAATGCCAATGTAAATAATACAAAGATCTATCGACTCAGTAAGGTAATCACTATAAGAGGAATGTTGAAGTTCAAACAATTTCACATAAACAAAAGGTTAAGCTCTGTAAATAAAATAGATAATAAACAACTAAAAACAAAACAAAAAAAATTAACATGATGGCCAGTAAGTGTACCACATGTTTGTGATACTGAAGCAGAAAATTATTTGTTACATGGAAGAATGAAAACTACTCATGCAATGAATTCCACTATGAAAAGCTTTACATTAATTTGTTTTATTTTTACACTTTTAACCACTGTTTATAAAATGTAAGCAATGGATAAGGGAAACAGACTATAAAAACAATATAAGAAGAATTAGATAAACAACAATAATGATTACCTATGAATTGGCAAAGTTCTCTTAGCAGAAGTTTTACATTCATAGCTTCATCAAACTTAGCAGTATCCTTTGGTAAATTAGAAAGACATTGTTCTAAAGTATCAAGTACAATTAACAGTGATTCATAACAATTTCGTTCAATATCTGCACCATGGGGACGGGGTACTGAGTTAACGGAGATATACTGTGAAAAAGTTAAAAATAGATTATTAATCATCATTTTAAGATTATAACTTCATTTAAAAAAAAAACTATAGACAGATTAATAGGTAAATATAAATTACATATTTAACAGATTAGTTAAGTAATCTAAAATTTGGATTTATAAGGTAAACTAGCTTTACCCGACCACACGCTGCTGTGGCTTAGCCTGGCTAAATGGAAAAGAAAGAAAATAGAAATCACATATGAGTGGATTAATACTAAAGGACATGTGTCATTTTTAAAAAGTTGGGAAACAAATTTGTCTGTAAAATGGCTTCAATTTAAACTAATTATAATAGGCCGTCATTCTTAATCATTAGAAACAGTTTGAATTGAACTTATAAAACTAAAATTGGCTTTATCTCTGCTTTCTGAAAATGACAGAGAACAGTCTTTGATATGAAGCCACTCATATATTTTCATGTATAATTTTATTATTTTTTTTTTTTTTGTATATTTAATGTATTGTTTGATGTTCAACTTTGTGTTGATAATTTTATGGCAAATAAAAAGTTTGTTTGTTCAAACTCTTAAATCTCGGAAAGTTCTTCACCCATTGCCTTGAAATTTTGGCTTAACGTTGCATTTAAATATGTGTGTGGTTTAATATATCTACTATTACAAAAATTTATTAAAAACACACCATCAGTTGGATGTAAAAGCAACATATGTGGTTCAAAATATTTTACGATACTGTTTTAATGTTAAAGATTTTCAAATATCAATCGTGGGAATGCATTGAAATTGCGCTATACCATTTATCATAGCGTTCATTTTGTGTGCATTAGAGCTGCCATCCACCTTTCTCAAAAGATTTTTCATAGCCCTCCTAAGTAAGATAGTTGATTGCTTGCTTCTTCTTAATAATAATTGTATAATAATAATTCTTCTTAATCTTAATGTAAAAATTGTAGTGGAAAAATAAACCTTACTCATGAAAGAAACCCTACAGTAAACGGCACAACCTTATTTCAACGTAACGTTAGAGATAAGAATTTATTAAAAAATAAAATAAACTGAAATTAATAAAAACTGATTTCTAAAAAATAGCAAATCAAATATTTGAGATGTATCATACTACTTCCAGAATACATTGGGAAGAAAATAAAAAATCAATGTAAAGAGTGTATACTAGTATTGACCTACATAAGGAGAATCACATCACTTCTTCAAATGATAATTTCAATTACTGTAGTAGTTATAAAATTTTCGATTAATCACTAACAAAAAAAAAAAAGAGAAATGGCCTTTTTGAAGAGAAAGTAGTAAATGTTTAAAACTCTATAACTCTGCAACGAATCGTCCGATTTCAATGATTTATTTTTTTATTTTGTAGGGAATGCAGGAATCTTTCAAATAAATAGGGGTTTTTGATAACTTTTTTAGTTATCGGCAAATAAAATTTTGAATTCATCGTAACATTTTTTCAGCTTGTTTTCAGGAAAGTATGTTCAAAGGATTCAACACGTAAATTAAAAGGGATTCAAGGGTAAGACTTTAGCCAAGTTTCGTTAGAATTGTTAAAGCCGTTTTGGTGCTACAGTTTATAGAGACACGTTTTTCGGCCACCATTTCGAAACGAAAGAACGGATGGTAATAAAATATTCAAAAACACTCCTGAATTCAATTGCAATGCTGTGTCAAAATTTCAAAGCAATCGGCGAAGAACTTTCGGAGAATAGCGGCTTTGAACAAAATATACATTTACATTTTTATTTTTTTTACACATATAAAATTATCTTAAGACAGAAGTAATATGCCAGAAACCTTAGCGGGAGTGTATGCAACAATTTCTCAAAGTTGCATGGCGATCGGATGAATGGTTTAGTAATGCATAAAGGACAAAACAGACAGACATACATACATTCATTTGTATATATAGCATTTCCAAGTCAATTTCAACCTTTTCCAAATCAAATTCAACCTTTTCCAAGTCAAATTAAACCTTTTCCATTTCAAATTCAACCTTTTCCAAGTCAAATTCAACCTTTTCCATTTCAAATTCAACTTCCGAATTTTTGTCAATTTTCGATTTATTTCGAAATGAAGGCCACATACTATATTATCGAAGGCATAGCTTTTGAAAATTACAAAAAAAAATTTGATAACGCGGTTGCATATCCATTTATTTTAACATTTTAGATTTTTTCAGTGTGATATTTCTATGTGATATTCAATTATTTTCAAGTCAAATTCAACCTTTTCCAAGTCAAATTCAACCTTTTCCAGATCAAATCAAACTTTTTCCAAGTCAAATTCAACCATTTCCATTTCAAATTAAACCTTTTCCAATTCAAATTCAACCGTTTTCATTTCAAATTAATGTTTTAAGTTTTTGTAAATTTTATATATATTTTTTTAAATGATGGCCATCCCCTCCCCCCCCCTCCAATATGAGTCTATTATTATGCTCTCCTAAGTAGAATTTTCACTTACGGATATCGATTTATTGTACCTATTCGGATTTATTAGGGACTAGCATTATGCTGTCCTGTACCTAGTTTTGAAAATAACCTCCATTTTAAGATTACGTGACTGCGTTTCGAATCATTTAAGTTTTTTTGACTTATTCGATATATGGGTGTATTTTTATGTTTCCCGATAAGTAAATTTTGAAAATGACATCCATTTTATGTTTACGCCACTGTGTTTTGACTTATTTAGGTTTTTAGAATTTATCCAATATAATGGTCTCCTTTTATGTTTCCGGAGCCGCAGATTTTGAAAACGACCTTCATTTTAAGATTAGGCCACCGCGTTTCGACTTATTTGAGTTTTTCGGATATTTTTCATATGAGGGTGTATTTTTATGTTTCCGGAGCTGTAGATTTTGAAAATGACCTCCATTTTAAGATTAGGCCACCGCGTTTCGACTTATTTGAGTTTTTAGGATTTTTTTCATATGAGGATGTATTCTTATGTTTCTGGAGCCGTAGATTTTGAAAATGACCTCCATTTTAAGATTAGGCCACCGCATTTCAATTTCTTTGAGTTTTTCGAAGTTTTATCATAAAAGAGTGTATTCTTATGTTTCCGGAGTCGTAGATTTTGAAAATGACCTCCATTTTAAGATTACGCCACTGCGTTTCGGCTTATTCAAGTTTTTCGAATTTATCCAATTTAAAGGTCTACTTTTATGATGCCGCAGCCTTAGTTTATAAAACGACTTACATTTTAAGATTAGGCCACTGTGTTTCGGTTTTGTTAAGTGTTTTTGATTTTTCCTTCGAATAAAAAACAAAATACGAAGGATTAATTTATTATTCAATAAATAAATAAAAATATTTAATCAAAATAAATAAAATATGTATTGTCTCATTTTTACCTCGCGCGGGCTCATTACCGCGTATGGGGAGCGTCCCACGGGTGGCGGATGTGGGGATGGTCGGTGGAAATTCCTTGGAAGTTCCTCCCGGCTAAGTCCGATGGACTCGCTGACCAACAATGAGAGGGGCCCTCCAGACTTGCTGGAGGGAGGGGACCTCCAGACTTGCTGGAGGTAGGGGCCCACCAGACTTGCTGGAGGGTGTGACGTAGGATTGAACGCCCTACTCACGTATCTTTAGTTCACCAAACACCACAAAAAGTCATGGATCTCCCTAAGGTAAAACGCTCATTATCCGGAGGTAAACTAGTCCCCCGTTCGGGTCTCCGGGTGGGGACTGCTTTAGGGGATTCATGCCGCAAGTTGAAATATAGGGATTTAAATATTGGTACGTGGAACGTAAGGAGTTTAAACACAGCAGGGGGGCTAAAATCGGTCGCGAATGAGGTAAATGGGTACAATTTGGATGTCGTGGCTCTGCAAGAGGTTCGCTGGCCAGGGGAGGGCTCGATGAGGGAAGGAAAGTACACTATTTGGTACGGAGGAAGCGGGAATCATTGTTTAGGTACCGGGTTTCTAATTAGGAGTAGATTACTATCCGCTTTGAGGGACGTACAATTCTTTAGTGATAGAATTTCGGTAGCTACATTTCAGGGACGTTGGTTTAAAATCGCATTAATAAACATACATTGTCCGACCGAAGACAGTGACGATGAAGTCAAAAGTGAATTTTACGATAAACTCGAATGGGTTTATGATAAACTACCGCGAAACTACATGAAAATAATTGTAGGTGACGCGAACGCAAAGGTAGGAAGGGAAGAAGTTTATATTCAGACGATTGGTAAAGAAAGTTTGCACGAATATAGTAATGATAACGGGATCCGTCTGATAAACTTTGCCATCTCGAAAAACCTGGTAATTAAAAGTACGACGTTCAAACGTAAGGATATTCATAAATATACTTGGACATCGCCGGATTCGCAAACACGAAATCAAATCGATCATGTCTTGATACAACACAGCTGGCAAAGCAGTATAATCAATGTACGGTCTTATCGCGGAGCAGAATGTGGGTCGGATCATGAATTAGTAATCGCGAAACTTCGACAAAAACTTAATATAAAAAAGAGAAAAGAAAACCGTTTCGATTTTGAGAATTTTAATTTGGAAAAATTAAAAAATCCATCAATTAGAAACCAATTCGAGCTAGATGTTAAGAATAGGTTTGAAGCTTTAGAGCTTCCTGACGAGGACCACGAGGATATTGACAAGTTATGGATAGAGATCAGGGATAATATTAAAGCGGTCGGTAACTCGTGTCTAGGAAAAAAGGAAAATAAGAATAACAAACCGTGGTTTGATGAAGATTGCTTAAACATGTGCGAAAAAAGGAAAGCCGCTAAATTAAAAGCTCTAAATAATCCTAGCGAAGACAATCTGGAATACTTCCGAATCTCAAAGAACGAAACGACAAAATTGCTCAAAAATAAAAAAAGGGAGTATCTTAAAAATAAAATAATTGAAATAGAAACTAATAGAATCGAAAATAACGTAAGAGACATGTACAAAGGTATAAACAGATCACGTAAATATGTAGGGCCCGTAACGTCTGGAATTAGGGATGATAATAACAATATTCTGACCGATCCGGT